TGTACATGTATCTAAGGCTATTTTGAATTCCAGAACAATTGATTTCCTTGTGCCTCTACATTTATTGAAATTTTTTGTACGTGAAGACAGCCAAGAAGGATTTTATGATATTTGAAAAACAACTGGTCTGGATTATCAGGATAGTTAAAGTTAGCATCAAAGACAAAATCAATTCTGTGCACAAAACAGTGTAAACGTGAAAGGATTGCAAAAACAATTAGTTTAATATACATATACTGGTAAACCACAAACATCAGCAGCTGTACCAAATTGAAATCCATATCAACATACATCAGCATGTATTAGTGTATATATTTCATTGTTTTTCCTGTCAAAAGTGTCCAGTTGAACTAACAGCCAGCTGCACACATATGGATGTCGGTTCAACTGGAGGAAATTGAATAAAAAACTTACACATTTTGTAAGTTTTGACCAGTAATCCCTATTTAAAAATCAGCTAAGAGAATTTTACTTTGGTTTTGCAAAAGTTGTTTCTTATGAAAAAGAATTCACCATAAACTCTCCCCTCTTGAGGAGACATGGTGGCCTTATGATTAGTGAGGTGGAGTCAGGGTCAAGAGATCTGCATTTGTAACCTGGCCAGGTCATGTGTTTTGTTTTTGTGCAAAATAATTTACTCTCATGGTACCCCTCTCCACCCAGGAGTATAAATGGGTACCAGAAATTAGTCAGGAGAACCTGATGAAATGACAGGAGGGAAGAATGAGGGGGGGGGGGGTAACCATGGGGTGGACTGTCATCATGTCCAGGGAGGAGTAGTAATACCAAGTCGCTTCATGTGAGGAATCCAGGATTATAAGCTCAGGGCCTGGATGGGACACTCTTAAATACAGACTTTACGTAACTACCTACTACAGCCTCTGGTTTAAATAATTTCAATTGCTTCTGTTACAAAGTATACGAACTTGCAACATACAGATAATGATTTTTTGCCCAATTTATCTCAGTAAATTAGGACTGTCTTTTGTAAATCTTGAAATTTTCAAAAATCCAGACAGAGGCGGAGTTTTCTATACTAATGTTTGAGCACTTTGTAGGCTTCCCGCAATCTGACAGGACGCGTAATTAAGCACACAGTGGTAAAGGGTCCTTCCGCAGTACCTACAAGACACTGACAAAACTTTTTTCTCTTCACCGAAAATCACATCAAAATTTGTCTTTGCTAAATTTCAAGTGTGCTGCACGTATCAGCACCCCCCGGAACCCCTTTATATAAAAGGGCGAGGATGCGTGCAGGAATTTCGAAAACGACCCCTATAAAATTATAAAAGGTACCTGAGTCTTATCCGTGTGGGAGTGGCAACAAAAGATATCTACCCCTATAAAGTAACAATTTAAACTCAAAAAAATTGAAAAATCCCAAAAATGAGAACTTCTTTATCGATGTGCTCTAGAGGCTCAAGTCAGATCATTAAAATCGTCCTAGTGCTTACTAAATGCTTATTTCAGGTATTTTATTGAGCGAAAAACATCTTAAAAGGTACCAGCTAGGTCTCTGGCAGTCCACTAAAGTTGGAGACACCATAAAAGGTACCAGATCACTGATTTTGACCCCTGAAAGGTACGACAAGCATCCTCACCCATTTCTGATCGCCTCCTCCCCCACCTCCCCTACCAACCCTGTCAGCACCTAAAAACAAAAGATATGATTTGTCAACTACGAGCTGTCAGTCTCACCTCTTAAAATTCACGTAAAGTGTTTATTTACTTATAACAACTTTTGGCACTGATCTGTCAGATTTTTATGTAGACAAAATCTGTCCTGCTTCGAGGCAGGACGGCTGTACCTTTTTTGTTTTGTCTTGACATAATTTGGTAGGTAAACAGACTTTTCAAGTGCATCCGGAACTCGATCTGTGCACTTCTAGTGCATAAAGTATTCTTTTGTAACATAGCCAAAGATCGCGCGATGTCTACTTTTCAAGCCTTTTTCTCTTTTCAAAGAGGCATCAGAATTATTTTCATGTCAAATTTGCAGTAAACTGCTTGCGTGTCATCCTTTGTTTTCAAGGTGTCCGACCAGGTATGACTGAAAATGGCACCTCGCTTTGATAAGAATCCTTTTGTTGTTGCTTCTTACTTCCTGAAATTATCACTTGAAATTCGCTCGGTAATGTAAAAAAAACAACAACAACAACGCGAGTAATACTTATATATCCAAATTCTTTCATCACAGGAAAAGTTGTAGGACCTAATAGCATTTTAGGGACGGACCATTAAATTTTTGATGCGGGTGTTGGGGTGTTGGGCAATAACCCCCGAAAAATCGAGCACGGGCTCAATGGAAGAAGACAAATCGTGCAATTGGCAAAAGACCCCCCTCCCTCCCCCGCATAAAAAATCTAATGGTCCGTCAATAAGGTACCTTTTACATTATTCCAAAATGGGTTTCATTCCCAAATGAAATAAATTTCATGCCGCGTTTACATGCAAGATAATTTGGATTATAAAAACAAGTAGTAAAAACAAGTATTTACGTCCTTTTTCTATGCTTCCCTCGCTCCTAAAGAGGATATACAGATATGAGTGTCGTACCGCGTTTACTTTACACAGGTACAAAAGGTCGTCCAGAATAAGTGTTTCGTTCTGGAGTGAAAACCTCAATAAACTCATTCACAAATGACTCGTTTCGAATAATTTTACTCTGGTATCATGCGACAACCGGGATGAACTCGTTCTTGAACAAAACTCATCCCGATATCATTTAAAAGGCCCCAAAGAGTTTTTATTCCCAGAGCATCATGCTTTTTTTTCCTGCCAGAACACTATAAATTTCATCGCGTTGCAGCAACAACCCGCTTTGAACTGCTACGCTGCCACTGAAACAACGATTAGTGACCACAAAAGTAACATACTATAATATTGTCAATTCAACATAAACAAAAATCTTCATACAGGGTAAATATTCATTTGTGTTGGTATCAATTATTGCGTGACTAGCTTCTAATATAACTGGGATAGGGGAAAAACACAACGTAAAACCTGAGCTCCCGGCAAAAAGTAATACTCAAGCGTAATATAATGACCGAAACAGTTATTGGTCTTATAAAATCATAAATAATCTAGGTAAGAGTGTTGCGTTAGATTTTTTTACAAATTGTAGTGATTTATGCCTCGATATGTCAATAAAAGGTGGCGACAAGTAGGCACACCCAGTATATTTCATAGTCGCTAGCAAGTAAATTTTGCTGGACTTTGAGTTCGTCTCACAATAGAACAACACAATTGCACAAGAAAATTTTTACAGTAACTTTATAACCATCCTTTTTTCTTTTAAAAGCTAGAAGCTCAGTAGATTTTGTCATATCGGTCATTGTTAAAACTTTCTTTGTTTTGATGCTACTTTTCGACATAGAAAAAGTATGTCGGACAAAAATATTTCCCAAAAAATAAATATTTCTTTGCCATCCTCAATAATGTCAGGGGATTAAGTTTAGTTGAAAAACAAAGGATTATGCCGACAGAAATACCGGAGGTCAAGTAAATTCGCTACATGAGGTCACACAACTCGGGCAATATTCAGAGTGAAAATTTGCATATTTGAGCGGTCCAACGAAAAAAATCATTTCTCAAAAACTAAAATGTATTTTCACAAAAAAACTACACCACAATTATTAGGACATATTGGGCTACAAAATATGAAAGTAGGAGAGAAAACGAATTTGGGTGACTTGCCGCCGTTTGTCTGATGCATGTTGACGTTAGCTCTTAATTGGCTTCTGATTTTGTGTCTATGTATCCCTTCCATTCTCAGAAGGGAAAAAATATTTATTTTGCAACTGGGTAATATGTTGAGCTGATGTTTATAACCATTTTCAATCACCTTTTTTTCAGGCTAGGATGACATAAAAGAACAACTTTGTACGAAGCATCAGTCTTCTTACAGTTGCTATGGCTACAGGAAGAAGTTCAATTAAAGTTCCATGTGAAAATGAAGACTTACCTGACAAAGAAAACGCACCAGATTTTGACGAGGACACTTTACGAGGTGAGCTAGGTTCAACTTCGGCTTCAGTAATTGTTAGGACAATTTCTATTCGATCAGGATCAGTTTCAAGAATGCAAGCTGATGTGGAAAAGGATATATACAGTGTATGACCACTTTAAAGGATATTTGGCCAATCATGACTCTCTTCTATGATTACAATATGCTGTTCATTGGGAAGATCTATGACACAGAAACTTTGGCTATTTTCTTTTCTAACAGTTCAAAGCAATAACACAAAGTTATAATAAGTTAAGACTTTATTTGATCATCATGTAACATCCATTGTTTAACTTTGCATCATAGGTACCATCATCATCATCACCATCATCTTTCTATTTTAATGAAACACAATCACTTTGAAACCTTCAACATTCCTTCCCTTCTCCTCGAGCAACCCACAGGTATTTGATCTTCATCCAAGCCAAAGGGGGGGGGTTTAACCCTGCCTGACTGGCGTTAGGGAATTTGAATAAAAACTGTCACATCTAATTTCCAGTAGAGTACAAGTGTTAATTATCATTGAATATGAAGGTGTTTAAGGTAGATAGTGTACTTTCACTAACAAATGGCTCAGAAGAAATAAGGCTTCAATGTCTAGGTTTTAAAGCTTGGTCAATTAGTTTTTAAAGCTTGATCAACTAGTTGAAAGTCAAATTTCTAATTATTTCTCCTTTTACATAAAATTGTGTGGGGCATTTGAACATTTTATTAATTTTGCCCAGGGAATGGGAATTTTAGGAAACCTATCTCCAAAAATTTAAATGCCCAGGGGTTTGCCTCAAGTTGAGTGATGCTTAATTCTCATCATTATTCTTACCCATGTTGTCACCTACACCATTGGCATCATCATAACTATTGTAAATCTGCAGATTTTAAATCTCCAGATCTTGGCAGCTCTGATTATACACTAATAATTTTTAACTACGACCACAGACTTTGACACCTGTTTTTAAATTTTTTTTTTTTCGAATTATTTTATTTTTTCTTTGCAGCCACAGCTGATGTTTATAGAGATGAGGGTAATGAGGCCTTCAAGAAAGGAGATTTCATCAATGCTATTCATTTTTACACCAAAGGAATTAAAATGAACTGCAGCGAGAAAGAACTGAACGCCAAACTGCACAACAACAGGGCTATTGCACATTCTAAACTTGGTAAGATGATGAGAGCTTTAATATGCATTTTTTTTCTATTTTGAAGCTATTGAGTTGTCAGTAGTAGTTTTCTGAAAAAGGTGATCATTTTGAATGCATGCCCGGAAAAATTTACCTCTTGTCTTGGCCTCTCAAATATACAAAGAAGTAACCTCTTACCCCAGATATCAACGAGCATCACAATTTTTTCTCAAAATTATAGTAATGGTAGTTGGTTTGCAACATGTATGGCTAATCATAGATATTTATTTCAATAACAGGAAATCACCAGGATTCACTAAGGGATGCAGAAGCAGCCATTGAGTTAAATCCAACTTTCCTCAAGGCAATTGTGAGAGGTTAGATATGTTAGCTGTACAATAATAATAATAATAATAATAATAATAAAAGAACTGAACACTCTAAGGTTAAATGAGGTTAAATGGAGTTCAATCTTGTCTCAATTGACTTTAATTAAGAGGTCGAGACCACCCAGATGCACATTTGAATCCAGCTCTTGACTGCTACGCCATTACTTTCCATTAATCATGATGAGAATATTACTTTGAACGGGATCAAGAACTCAATGCGGAATGCAAAGCAAAATTTCAGCATGAATATTTTAGTTCCTTAAGTCCAATGAGTCACAGGTGTCAGATATGTTAAGAGCGTGTCCACGAGAGTACCGGGCAGTCGTGCTACAAGCCATCTCACCGATTTCAATGAAACTTTACCAGTTTAGAGGGTCTACCCCAAAACTCAAAGAGACAAACTGGTTTCTGTTTCGGTTCTTACGGGAGGAGATAGACCACCCCCGGTTTTTCTTGGTTTTCACCAAGGAAATCGCTTCAAATAGGTAAAATGAATGAAGCTCTCACGGCGATGGTATCTAACCGATTACTTTGAGGATTTGCACACATATTTTTACATCCTTAGTTAATGTCTGCTGCGAGTATCAGTCAGTTTGATTGACGGCTTGTCAATCAACAGAGGCAAATATACGACTTTGGTTTTAGACTTTTCGATTCATCCAAATATTTGACAACTTTGAGGTCAAATATCTCCCGTTGCCAGAAAGCTACAACACTAATCTTAATTCCCCTTTATAACCCATCATTTCATCTCTGAAAATCATCAAAAAAATCTTTGGGCACTACCGTATTTTTGTCTTGGATGCCTTTTAAAATCTGCGACTGTGACAAGTTTCTCTCAACTACACCTGTCACGCAATTCTTGCTCTAGGCGGTCACTTGACAAAATAAACCTACATTTTTTAGCTCTTTATACAAGATGATTGCTCAAGAAAGGTGAAAAATGTGAAAAACTTTCGAGATTTTTGGTAGGAATGGAAAATTTCACGTTTAGAGAGATGCATGTTAACGAAAAATCAATGGGAAAATCGTAGCGTTTCTTTCTTCAGTCGTTTATTACTTTGAAGATTTGCTAAAATCAGCAGATATGGCTTTTGTACAGCACAAAACATTCATTAGTCTATAATATGATTGTTAATCATCATCATTGCTCATTTTATTTCATGCTGCGTGTTGGTTGATATTACTAATTGTTCCAGTGTGCTACAACTTCGGCTTTTACAGACGAGAAATTCTGCGCTCTCGCTCGAGAGCAAATATCAATAGTTCTATCGGACTAAAAACTGTGCCTCTATCCCGAAAATAAAATTAAAATAGTGTTGTCGTTGTCACTTACCGCCATCGAACATTTCCATGCAGAACTCCGCTAAGCTAACATCTGTTGTGTGACCCGAAGACTCTTAGTAGGAATTATTCAAGCGCGTTTTTCATGCTATCTGCTAGATAACAATTTCAGAATAATCTGCAGATTTCTATGATTATTTGCCTGCTTCGATCGTAAAATATCTACATTTTTTTTTCAAGCATTCTATTACTACACATAAATCTACATTTCTCTAGATCGAGTGTTGCCGGCGTTTAATTGCGTGACTTGTAAAATTTTTAAATAAGAGTGAGCCAGCAGTAATTTGACGAGTAGCCTTCCTGCAAATTTTCCTTGATGAAATCCCAAGACATAGCCAGTTGTTTTCGTGAGCAAAGACAATAAATATGAAAGAAAAGTGAGATGCGAATGTCTTCTTTTTTTTTTAGCTTAATAGCAGCTGTACCCTCTCCTGCAGTCTTCGTCTAAATTTTGCAAGGTCCCTCCTTATCTTCTGCCTTGTTCGGTCAGTTTCGAATTCTGAAGCTAGATCATTGGCATCGGCCTCTCCGTCCTCATTCATATTTACAGAGGGGGACCTCATCAATAAACCAATTTTTGTTACGGCAGATAACCGGCTGAAGTATCGAGCGATTTGCTGCTGTATCAACCGGTCAGTCTTAGACAACATTTCTGGCTGGTGTCGTCTCTTAAACTCTCTCGATATTTGGGAAATCACATTAGAGGCGGTTGCCTTACTAGTTTCCTCCCTTGCCCAGCACACGTCTAGGAGATAATTGTCTGCTTTCTGAGAAAAGGTGGCTGTTTTTTTGTGTTTTCCAAAGAGCCCATCCAAAGTCCACTTGGCTAGTTAGGAATTGTTCGTCAGAATTTGTACCTGAGGTCCGACCTCGAACGTAGCCGTCCCTTATAGAATGGCAAGCCGGTCTTAGTCCATTTCCTCTTGATCTTATCCTAGGCGGAATGTGTTTGTCGGCTTCACTGTGTTTGTCTTTGTCAGGGTACATTTGGATGGCAGCCAATGACTGAAACATCTTGATACACCCTTCTTTTTGCAAGAATATCTCGCTTTCTTGTTCCGTCTATGACGGATTGGGTATAGTTCTCGCGATGACCTGCGTTCAGAAATCTGTGCACGTTGCTGATAACCACCCGCTTCTGCGACTAGTTTGCTGAAGGTTTCTAATGTGATGAGCCTAGTGAGACCCTGAGGTGCTTCAAACTGTGCCAGTTGGTCTGCGCTATAAACTTGTCGCAGTTCTTAAGTCAGAGGGAGGATCGCCCACCTCTATCTATGTGAGCGCCTCTACAGTACCTGCGTATCCCTAGGAATCATATGATATAAAGTTCATCTCAGTCACAAATCACCAGTTAGGAAAACTGACGTTCAGATAAGCGCTCTTCTTGCCCTTCTTCCTTATTCATTGTCGACTCTAAGATAGGAGCTACAGTACGCGTTCTATTTAGGTTTACAGTCACCTTGCCGCCACCAGAAAGACTCGCCACCAGCTTTGATTTCTTCTGCCATCTGCAGATTCATCTCTCTCTCACTTTATGTCTCCGATTTTTATGAGGAGGAAACTGGCATTTACGAACCCGAAGGTTTGAATCTCACACCCAGTTGTGCACGATATTTGAGGTACATCGTGAAATCGCGGCCTTCGTAGTCTCCAAATAAGCCAATACGCGCTAGAATAAGCTCCATCTCGGACGAAACGCATGTTTGGGATACATCGACGTCTCTCAAATGTTTTTTTTTTTAAGCTGTATACCCACGAATTTAGAGGTATGAGCTGTTGCCGTCCCTAGCCAGCGCGAGAAAAGTAACATTTGGTTCTACAGTTAGTTGCAAATGAACAAGACAACTGCACCATCTTGACTTTATCAATTCGAGTGTTAGATTGAATTGGGGGCTTTTTAGACACTCGATTTCTTATATGGCATCACGACGAAGACGTAATACAACTGATACACCTACACAACATAGGATTAACAATGTCTGTTGCGCTGTTGCTAGAAGGAGGAAAATATTCCCGGAAGTGTACGCTCTTTTTAAAAAAGAGTTTTAGAGACGTTTCAGAGATGTCTATCCTTGATCGGCTGTCACAAAAAAATGACCCCCACTTAAATTTACTAGGAAAAATGAACTTACCAACTCTTTGTTGAAAAAATTGGAATTCATTTGACCGATACGCCGGTTGTTTCAATTTTTCTTTTTCCTCGGGCTGCTATGAAACAGTTCATAAATTGACTAAAGTGTTTTGAAATATCTTTCGTGATTTGCCTTTTTTTTCTGCGTGCAAATCAAGGGTAGACAAAGTTTTTAAAACATTTGACTAGAATTTCATGGAGTTCACCTCGATAATTTTCGTCGGCCAGAGTCAAGACGCGCCAAGCTAAGCGACATCGCCCTCCAGTAAAAAAAATTTTCCAAAGAATAAACGTGGCGAGCGTGAGGAAACGCACATTTTTTCCATCATTGTGATCAAAGCCCAATGATGTACCTAAATTGGTACTTACGGTATCAAACCATTGATTATGACAGGGTGAGCTTAGTTTTTCTATCGAGGTCGACGTGACTTCACATTAAAAGCTTTTTTGACGGAACAAACTAGTGAGCATCACTGCACGAACTGAGAAAGTAAAAACTTGTATTTATCTCCCACGCGTTTCGTCTGACAATAGTAGACTTCTTCAAGGATTTTTTCAAGTAGGGTAAATAAGCTTGCTCAAATACAAATAGTAAATAAGTTGTCTCTTTACTATTAAAGTCAGTGGATAGAATACGCCAGGTGCGCCTACGGTGTTATACGTGCGTGACATTTTGCGGACGTTACATGTAAGAGTACGTGATCCGTTTGAGGGTCACAGATTTAGTGAAAGTATTTCACTCCTCAACATCACCCAATGTCTCTAGTTTACAGAGGTCTTAGAACTTTTCATTATATGGCGTTGCCTTCTGCGGGTAGAAGACTACAAGCGAATTTCTCAGGCGTAATTGCCTTTGATTTCTCAATTGATGTTGTCGCAAACACAGTTTTTGGGAGTCACGCGACAAAAAAACTTATCAGGACCTAGTTTCATGTTCTAATGGAAATAAATAGCAAATAAAAACACGTTTTCTTGAGAGATAAAGTCACAAATGACGGGGGTTCTCTGAAACAAATAGTGATAGAAAAGGATTTCAGTTCTGGTCAATATTGACTTTTCATGGCCTACTTCCAAATCTGAGGGAAAGTGCTGAGGGAATAAAAAAACATAAATGTGTGATAATGCAAGCAAGAGAATGAAAATACAAATAAAGAAAAAGGAGAAAACATAGGAACCCGTGTTGCAGCGTGCAGATATCTTTTGAACCAGACCTACACACATAAGCCCGACACTAGCCAGAGAAACTCGAAAGAGTCCTGTATATGAACTAGCTCGCACGTGCACGCAGGAAAGGCCATGACAATCAGCGAAAATAATAGCAAATGCAGATGATATTTGCAGTCGAAAAACAGCAAAATAAGATAACACAAGGATTAGGAACTTTCTAGAAGTGTCTTCTTGAAAAAAAAGATGAACAATTTTTACTTCTCCGAGAAAAAAAGAAGAAAAAAAGGCATGAAAAGGTCACGCAGTAACCCTACAAATACTATTCCTATAGGTAGAATTTCTTGATGGTGGAAAGTGGAAAAAACATTTTCCAGTCTTATTTTCTGGAAACATGGCGTAGTTAATGAAGTTATGGGGCTATTGATATCTCCTAAAAAATAAAGGGGGCAGAGTTTCCCGTCATTCGCGGTATGGAAAAAGCCGAAGTAGTTACACTCGGGAACTTGTACGCCAACAAGCAGGCGACATGTGATTTTAAAATCTCCTCTCCTGTTACAGTTTCCTTATTGCAAACTGTGCAATAATGATAATAGACGATCAAAGTATAGGCTAATGAATGTTTTGTTCTGTACAAGAGCCCTGTCCTGATTTTAGCAAATCTTCAAAGTAATAAGTGACTGAAGAAAGAAACACTACGATTTTCCCATTGATTTTCCGTCAACATGCATCTCTCTTAACATGAAATTTTCCATTCCTACAAAAAATATCGAAAGTTTTTCACATTTTTCACCTTTCTTGATCAATCATCTTGTATAAAGAGCTAAAAAATGTAGGTTTATTTTGTCAAGTGACCGCCTAGAGCGAGAATTGCGTGCCAGGTGTAGTTGAGAGAAACTTGTCACCGTCGCAGATTTATACGGTAGTGCCCAAAGATTTTTTTTATGATTTTCAGAGATGAAAAGATTAATTAAGATTAGTGTTGTAGCTTTCTGGCAACGGGAGATATTTGACCTCAAAGTTGTCAAATATTTAGATGAATCGAAAAGTCTAAAAACACAGTCATATATTTGCCTCTGTTGATTGACAAGCCGTCGATCAAACTGACTAATATTCGCGGCGGCCATTAACTAAGGATGTAAAAATATGTGTGCAAATCCTCAAAGTAATCGGTTAAATACCATCGCAGTGAGAGCTTCATACATTTTACCTATTTGAAACGATTTCCTTGGTGAAAACCAAGAAAAACCGGGGGTGGTCTATCTCCCCCGGAAAAAACCAAAACAGAAACCAGTCTGTTTTTTTGAGTTTTGGGGTAGACCCTTTAAACTGACAAAGTTTCATTGAAATCGGTGAGATGGCATGTAGCACGACTGCCCGGTGCTCTCGTGGACACGCTCTTAAGTCACTATATAGATGTTTTAAAAAGAAGGATCAGGACTTACCTAACTTTTAGTGTTTTTGTGGGAGTTGTTGATCCCAATTTAAGAGTTCTTAGAAGTTTCAGTTGTCTGTAAAGCTAAATAAATCTAACTGAAACCTAATAGGGCCTGTTTATTCTTTTCCGTTTAGTTTTTTTTTTGTATTGTTTTGTTTCGTCTTTTTTTTTTCTTCTGGTCTCTAATGATTTCAATGGTTTCAGGTTCTTTTCTCAGAATTGAGCTACAGTAATTATATGCTTCTTTGTGTTGTTGCCTACAGGAGCCACTGCTTGTGTTGAATTGAAGAGATTTGAAGAAGCAATCACTTGGTGTGATAAGGGACTAGCTGTATCCTTTGAAGGAATCTTTCATTTTTAACCGTGGGTATAATGGAAAAAGTCTCCATAATTTGATGTTTCAAGGGAGAAAATGCAAAGAATTATGGGTATTAATTATGATGGTAACTTGTCAGCTCATATACTTTAAGTGTGTGTGATTAAAAACATAGCAGAAGTTATTACCTCATGACTTATTAATGAAATTGCTCCTTTTAGCCAATTTGACTTAGTTCTACTATCCATGCCAATAACTGGTACATTAGTTTAAATAACCCTTTAATTTCCCAGACCAAATTTGTAATTATCCTTACTGTCAACCGTACAATTCTTGTAATGTTAGTACAGAGAATTCAGTATTGCATCAACTAACTATTTTGAAATTAATATATTTTTTTTTACTCTCAACACTTATCTGATTGATATTGTATTGCTATTGTAAGGAGAAATTCTCTTTTGGTCACTCACGGGAGTTAAAGGGTTAGAAGACTAATATTCATCCAGTTTATACATAGTACTTGGGTAGATTATCCCTCTAAAACAAGCCAGAACAAAAAGCTCGGTAATGTTTACATATCTTATGCAGATTTTCTTGCCTTCGACCTTTTTCCACTACTTAGAGACTCGAAAACTTTCGTTGTGCTTTCCTATGGACAAATAACAATTTTAAAGACATGTATTTGTGTTGTAGACTCATTTCTTCCACTGCTGTAAAACATTTGTCTGATGTTAAAGCTATATTTATTTAAAAATTGAGCAAGTGCTGCTTAGTTTTTTGGAACTAGGGATTATATCTAGATATTTCGCCTTAAATTTTGAGGCTGCAGACAGAAAAAACATTTTTTTAAGTATAGATTTACTTCAAAACTGACTTTAAGACTGAATCTTAATAAATCATCTACCTTTCATGCAATGCCCTCCTAATTGGCCATTTTAGAGTTGTGTACTTAGTTGCCAAGCCTTTGATTTGGAATGAGGCTGAAGGTGACCTTGTTGTGATAGAGACCAGTATCTAGAAACGATAATAACAAAGTAGTTTGCATTTAAAAAGCGGCAATGTTTTTATCATAACAAGGTCACCCTTAATCATCGCTCTTGTTCAGAGGTTTGGGAACCAAGCACGCAAATGTTAAAATGGACTATAACATATCAATATGATCAGAAACATAATCTTTTTTGTTTTTTCCACTTTTTTAACCCTTAACATAAAAAAGATTGACAAAAACAATAGGACCTTACTGTCGTTAAGACTTCAGTCTGTCAGTGAAGTGGGATATAAGTCCATGAAGGAAAAAGATGCTATTAGTCATGACCACGGTAATGCAAGTTCAGGTGATGTCAAGAAAGTCATAGATCTCTATAATCAGAGAGAAGAAGCCATAGAGTACCTCAACCTATATCTTAAAAAAGCTAAAGAAGTAGGAGACAAGCATGGGGAGGGTAACGCTTATGGCAATCTTGGCAATGCTTATTTTAGTCTGGGTGATTTAAAAAAAGCCATAAAGTACCACAACCTACGTCTTAAAATAGCTAAAGAAGTAGGAGACAAGCGTGGGGAGGGTAACGCTTATGGCAATCTTGGCAATGCTTATCATCGTCTGGGTGATTTAAAAAAAGGCATAGAGTACCACAACCTACATCTTAAAATAGCTAAAGAAGTAGGAGACAAGCATGGGGAGGGTAACGCTTATGGCAATCTTGGCAATGCTTATCGCCGTCTGGGTGATTTCAAAAAAGCCATAGGGTACCACAACCTACATCTTAAAATAGCTAAAGAAGTAGGAGAGAAGCATGGGGAGGGTAACGCTTATGGCAATCTTGGCAATGCTTATTTTAGTCTGGGTGATTTAAAAAAAGCCATAGAGTACTTTAGCCTACATCTTAAAATAGCTAAAGAAGTAGGAGACAAGCATGGGGAGGGTAACGCTTATGGCAATCTTGGCAATGCTTATTTTAGTCTGGGGGATTTAAAAAAAGCCATTGAGTACCACAACCTACATCTTAAAATAGCTAAAGAAGTAGGAGACAAGCATGGGGAGGGTAGTACTTATGGCAATCTTGGCGGTGTTTATTTTAGTCTGGGTGATAAAAAAGCCATAGAGTACTTCAGCCTACATCTTAAAATAGCTAAAGAAGTAGGAGACAAGCATGGGGAGGGTGTCGCTTATGGCAATCTTGGCAATGGTTATCACCGTCTGGGTGATTTCAAAAAAGGCATAGAGTACTACAACCTACATCTTGAAATAGTTAAAGAAGTAGGAGACAAGCATGGGGAGGGTAAAGGTTATGGCAATCTTGGCAATGCTTATCGCTGTCTGGGTGATTTCAAAAAAGGCATAGAGTACTACAACCTACATCTTAAAATAGTTAAAGAAGTAGGAGACAAGCATGGGGAGGGTAAAGCTTATGGCAATCTTGGCAATGCTTATTTTAGTCTGGGTGATTTCAAAAAAGCCATAGAGTACCACAACCTACTTCTTAAAATAGCTAAAGAAGTAGGAGACAAGCATGGGGAGGGTAACGCTTATGGCAATCTTGGCAATGCTTATCACTGTCTGGGTGATTTCAAAAAAGCCATAGAGTACTACGACCTACATCTTAAAATAGCCAAAGAAATAGGAGACAAGCATGGGGAGAGTAACACTTATGGCAATCTTGGCAATGCTTATTTTAGTGTGGGTGATTTCAAAAAAGCCATTGAGTACCACAACCTACATCTTAAAATAGCTAAAGAAGTAGGAGACAAGCATGCGCAGGGTAAAGCTTATGGCAATCTTGGCAATGCTTATCACTGTCTGAGTGATTTCAAAAAAGCCATAGAGTACCACAACCTAGATCTTAAAATAGCTAAAGAAGTAGGAGACAAGCATGGAGAGGGTGTTGCTTATGGCAATCTTGGCAATGCTTATTACCGTCTGGGTGATTTAAAAAAAGGCATAGAGTACTACAACCTACATCTTAAAATAGCTAAAGAAGTAGGAGACAAGCATGGGGAGGGTGTTGTTTATGGCAATCTTGGCAATGCTTATTACCGTCTGGGTGATTTAAAAAAAGGCATAGAGTACTACAACCTAATTCTTAAAATAGCTAAAGAAGTAGGAGACAAGCATGGGGAGGGTGTTGCTTATGGCAATCTTGGCAATGCTTATGGCCGTCTGGGTGATTTCAAAAAAGGCATAGAGTACAACAACCTACGTCTTAAAATAGCTAAAGAAGTAGGAGACAAGCATGGGGAGGGTGTTGCTTATGGCAATCTTGGCAATGCTTATGGCCATCTGGGTGATTTCAAAAAAGCCATAGAGTACCACAACCTACATCTTATAATAGCTAAAGAAGTAGGAGACAAATCCTCGGAGGCAATGGCCTACTGTTCGTTAGGATTGGTTTTTGAGTTGCAAGGTAGACTGCCAAAAGCCGTTGAACATTACCAAGCTAGCATAAACTTATTCAATTCCTTGAGAGTACTTCTAATATCTAAAGATGAGTGGAAAGTTAATTTTCGAAATCAGCATCAAGTGGCGTATACGGGTTTGTGGAGAGTTCTCGTAGAACAAGGTAATGTAGATGAAGCCTTATTTGTTGCTGAGAAAGGACGAGCTCAAGCTCTGACCGACCTCATGGAATCCAGTTTTTGTGTTGGAACAAGTCACCACAAGGGAGAAGATGAAGATTGCGCAGTTTTAAAAAACGTTCCACCAAACACTGTCTTTCAGGCAGTGGACAAAGCTAACGTCTATCTTTGGGTTGTGCCCGAGGGAAAACAAGTTCAGTTAAGACAAAGTAAACTCAAAGGTTTTGTTTCAGAGAATAGTGGATCTAGCCTGTCCTTTGAGTCGTTCATGCTCGGTGTCTATACACAACTTGGTGTTCGTTCTAATGTGAGGTGCGAGAACCGATCTTTAGATGCTTTGAGGGAGGGCCGTTCAAAAGTGGATGAGAAAACCAAAGAAGCCAGGCCTCAACCTCACATCCAACAAGACGGATGCTTGAGCACTTTGTATGATATCGTTATGAAGCCGGTGGCGGACTTGATTGAAGGGGATGAGCTACTCATTATTCCTGATGGACCCCTGTGGATCGCTCCTTACGCTGCATTGAAGGATGGTAATTCTAAATACCTGTGTGAATCGTTCGCAATCCGAGTCGCTCCATCGTTAGCAAGTCTTAGACTCATTGCCGATTGCCCAGATGATTATCACAAAAGCAGTGGTGCGTTACTTGTAGGAGATCCGTGGGTGTCCGAGGTTACTAACAGCGAGGGAAAGAAAGTCTTGGAGCAGCTTCAGTATGCCAAAAAAGAAGTAGAAATGATCGGAAAAATTCTGAATATCACGCCAATCACTGGCAGTCAGGCCACGAAACGTGAGGTGTTGAAAAGACTCAGTTCCGTTTCCTTAGTTCACTTTGCGGCACACGGATGTATGGAAACTGGCGAAATTGCTCTTACACCTGACCCACACCGAATATCTACTGTGCCAACGGAGGAGGATTACATTTTAACAATTGGAGATGTGTTGAATGCTCAACTTCGGGCCAAACTTGTTGTGCTCAGTTGCTGCCACAGCGGCCGGGGCGAGATCAAGGCTGAAGGTGTGGTTGGCATTGCGCGCGCTTTTATGGGGGCTGGTGCTCGGTCTATTGTGGTGTCCCTGTGGGCGATTGATGACGAAGCTACTCTTGAGTTCATGAAACACTTTTATCAACAACTTGCAGGAGGTAAACCAGCAAGCGAGTCACTGAATCTGGCCATGAAAAGCCTCAGAGAATCAGACAAGTTCTGCGACATCAAACACTGGGCGCCCTTTTTGCTGATTGGGGATGACGTCACTCTTGACTTCATAGCAAAGGAAAGAGAAAATTTGAATATGAAATCACATAAATGAAACCTTTTTTATTTCATCTCAAAATGAATGACGCAGGAACTTGGAAGGTTTAAATGCTTCTCTATTTTGGCGCTTTTTGGTTATTTTTCATTACTTTTGACTTTCAATGGAACTTGAGATGTGTGACTTTACTTTGGTGAAGAAATAAAACAGACTATTTCAGTATAATTTGTTCAGTGGAATTGCTATTTTTTACCTTTACAAATTTAGATGCTTGCGAAGAGAACAAGATGCAACAAGGCTTCTGTTGTTAATGCCTGAAGTTGTTGAAGGCGACTACGAGGTTTTCGTTTCGCCAAAATGACACTCAGATCTATTCCTTTATTGCAATCAGTTATGTGTAAAATAATTTAAAGGTTTTTTTTCTTGTACACAACCAGGAGCTTGTCCACCGGGTTTTAATTACATTGATACTCTAAGCTTTTGATAACAAAAAAAAAAGTTTGTCATTTGCAAAAGGTGGCGAAATTTTAATTTCAAAAATGTGATTTGCAAACTTGGCAGCCATATGTGAATTGATCTTAATGGTTTTTCTACGTCATAAATTACTTTGTTGCAATTTGCAATTATCTTTACAAAAAAATTGATTATCATTTTCAACTTTTTTTCAATTCATTTTAATGCAATTTAATTCCATCAGTGCCAAGATTGCCATTCTAAGCTTAATTTGAAGAAGTAATCATCAGAGATGATGTTGTTGAATTTACTGACCATATGTTAGAGACATTAGACCTACTATCAGGGGTGTGGCCAGCCTCTAGTCCCGTGGGCCCGGCCTACAATTGTTTTCCGCCCGCTTGACTTTTCTAATATGACTCTTACAAATGTTGAAACAAAAATTGAAATTTCTCAGCAAAAAGGCCTACAACAAGTCAAAGAGCTGGCTACAACGGCCTGCTTTCAATCAAACGAGTTTGATCAATTTTAGTCCGTTTTATCAAACACTCATCAGTTTGTTTTAGAGAACGACGACAGAGACAAATTGTCCATGTAATCTAAACAAGGAAATAGCGAAGCAGAGTTTACTTTAACTGAAGTTTCCATTGCTGTGACTTTTAATGTATGTGACATGGAATTTGTTGTTTTCATTAGGAAAATATTTACGCCAATAAATAAGGGAAACACTTGAAGTAAGCCATGTAGTCTTCAATGGGAATTATTTTGGTGAAAATGTTCATGAATGAATGTAAATCTAGGCCGTAGTTAAAAAGGTTCAGGGCTTCAGGATAAAACTTGCATTTTTTTGAAAATTTGCTGTTCAAATTTTTTTCATGGCTTTAAATTTACCTTAGTATAATTTGGAGATGTCTGATGATATCTTTCTTAGATTTAAGAATTTATACTTAGGTATTCAGAGCACGCTTTGTAATTAGAACCCGTTATGCGCTCAAAAGTTTAAGGTATACTGTATCACAGCTGTTTTAAAAGAAATTTTTGTAAAATCAATGTTAATTTTTGACAGATTTTTATAACTACCATTGGTATATGCTGCCAGTATAAAATGTAATAGTTAACCTTGCACATGGTTGAATATGATGAAACGTAGGATTTTAAAAACAAGCTGGGACAATTTCCACTAAACATTCTTTTTATAATGTCAGTCTATTTGGTGTGAATTGTTTTGATGCTATTTGTATTTAAAGTTGAAGCTATTTGTTCATTTACCTTAGTTTTTATTCATTAACTCATTAACTCCCAAGTTGTGAAGAAAAATTCTCCCAACTGATAAGAATGTGTTTCTCTGTTGCTACATTCTGAGAATTCGATGAAACATAACGTTTCTAGTGAAAAATAATCCGCTAGTTTAGATTTTCTCTAATTCTTATTGACACCATGTTTGTCGGTGCATTAATTTTGCGAGGAGAATTTAAGTTATGATCAATCTTGGGAATAAATGGGTTCATTTTAGTGTCTCCGGTTAGCGCCTACTTTACTTAATGCCTTGAACAATTTAATGCAGTTTGTATTGTACTTTTTTTTACTTTTTTGTGTAAGAGAAATAGAGAGTGTATAAAATACAAAAACTGCCTTTGTTTTCATTGTCTGTCTCCATATTCTAAGGATTCGCGTGAGATGCAGGGAGAACAGATCCTACGGGGACTTCAATGCTTGTTTTGACCCGCGCGCGCCAAGTTGACAATCTTTGCAGCTGACAGTGTACTGACATTCCATGTTTCAAGCCCCCACCCACTTAACAAACGCTCGTCGACTCTTCGATTATGTCTCTTTCACTGTCTACCGTTCTCCATATTGTCACACGATTTTGAATGCCGACGGACGTGTTCATACTGTTACCTGTGTGCGCCCTTTTTACCTTTTTACACCTTTTCACATTTGTGCATCTGTTTTTTCTCCTTCCTTTTGTTCCTTCCCTCTTTTTCATCGTACTTTTCCTTTATTCCCATTTTTACGCGCACTTCTTTCATCGCCCTCAACTTTATTCTTCTACGCGCACTTCTTTCATCGCCCTCAACTTTATTCTTCTACGCGCTTCATTAGACGCGATTATCTCCTTGTCTGTTTCAGTTTTCATTCGTGTCCATCCTCGCGCAACGTCAGATCTCTAACAACTCATATACCTCTTTACTTCCCTAGTGTAGCTGTTGTTATGCTTATTTTGTTCACTTTAGGATGGTGTCCTCTTAGCATCATGTCTAGTAAAATCTTAGTTTTCCTTTCCACTCATTCCCAGTCCACAGGGGGTCTCAATTTTAAATCTCACTTGCCAGTGTTTGCTCTCCTCGGTCCTCTCATCACAGTAGCAGCTATAAAACGAAAGAGCTCCCTCCAAGTCTCTGTGACATAATCGATGTATTTTGTTGGAAACGAGTCCTTCAATGTCCAAATTACGGCTTCTTCTATCATCTGATTGGGAATGGATCAAACTCGCGCCCAGGGTCCACCTACATCGCGAGTCCAAGATGGCAGCAGGCCAATCCACAGACTTCTCCGAGTCGGTAGCCGTCATCTTGGATGTAGACGCAGAGAGGACATTGAAAAAGTGTTTTGACAAGACAATAATCAAGAAAGGTTAAGTTATTGTAATGCTTCCTAAGAGGTAGATAACAGCCGACAAATGGTTTAGTACAAACCGAAATGGTTTTGTGTTACAACAGTTGGTTTACGCCGTAACCGCCAAAAATACAAAAGGGAAATAGGTAAGTCAAGCTTGAAATGAAACAGTCTATGTGGGGTCTGACGTCACAACCTACGTCATTCAGATCCAATTTGGCGCGAAATTCGCCAGAACGAGGTATTCGCCAGGCCGTCCACTCGACGCTCACCACAGGAAAAAATTATTTCTTTAGCCTCGTCGTCCTTGTCCACTGGACTCAAAGAGCCTCACTCCGGTAATAACCTTTTTCACATTTGTCTATTTTAGCTTGTTAGCGAATAAATTTATACCCTCATCATCTTGCCGCAATATCAGTAAGTAAATGATATTTCGGAACAAAAGGAATAACAAAAATACAGATAAAATGCATCATTTTACGCGACAGCACATTTACCGTTTAGACAGTAAGAACCAAAGCTGGGAAACGTGATAAAGCGATTCATTGTTTTAAGACGACGAAACTACAACTAAAGGGCGCCTAAAAACTATATAGTTTTTATAGTTTTGAGGCGCCCTAGAGATTCTTATCCTATCCAATTTCAAGCTTGACTTTTCCATTTCACTTTTGTATTTTTGGCGGTTACGGCGTAAACCAACTGCACCAACCGCTGCAACACGAAACCATTTCGGTTTGTACGAAACCATTTGTCGTCACGCTAAACCATTTGGGGTCACGCTAAACCATTTGGGGTCACGCTAAACCATTTGAGGTCACGCTAAACCATTTGGGGTCACGCTAAACCATTTGGGGTCACGCTAAACCATTTGTCGTCACGCTAAACCATTTGGGGTCACGCTAAACCATTTCACTTTACGGTGAGTAGATTGATGGGATACAAAACCATTGCGGCTACGATTAACCATTTGCCGATAACCTAGTCCATTTCACACCTCTCTGAACCGTTTTTGTCAAGATACTGAACCAAAGTACAGTTAGCTGAACCGTTTGTCGACGATCGATTTCGACACTGAACCATTTCAGTTAACACTTGGCCACTCATGTTTTTATTGAATCAGTTCAACAAGGGTGGCTACACAGCTCCCCAATTGTATAAACCATTTTTTGTTTGAATATTTCATTTCACCAAATGCGACTTGTCCATTTGTATTTTAAATAAATCTCTTAGGATAAGATAAATCGTTCTCCAAAAGACAATTAGACTCTATCTGTTATTACAAACCAATTCTATTTTTGTATTTTTGGCGGTGACAGCTGCCCGTATGTGGGCTCTTCTTTAAATTTCAGTTGGAGCATTTCCGGCTTTAAGCTTGCACAGATTTATGGGCCAAGGAACTTTCTGTTTCATATCCACAACGCGCCGTTGCGATTCTCCGTTCCATGACATAGCTTTCGAGTCTTTCTTAGTACTTTCTCTGTCTTAGTGACTTTCAAACATTTTCATGACGGACTGAGGAAGCAAGGTCGTAAAATAGTCAAAGGTGCCTTCCATTTCCGCGACAGAGGTTAGAACGTATGGTTGTATCAGATTTTTGAGTGTAAGGTAAATACTTTTATTTTAAATTTTTTTAGTTGAGATTTCCTCCTTCAAATGTTCCTCATCTTTCCGAACTTTCTCTGATTTCCGACAGTGAAAGACGTTCCTGCAGTTAAGTGACGACGATTGCCAACTTTTACTTTATTCTGGCGTGTATTAATTGTATTGCCGCTTCGTGTTAGCTACAAGCTTGTTTGAACAAGTTACAGTTGTCGAATTCACAAAAATTCGCAAGCAATGCCTGGCATTTACCTTGGACAAAATAAGTAATTCGGGAGAGTTACAAAGGATATCCAAATTATCGATTTGATTCAGTGCAAGCTCTTTTGATCGCAACACTTTCAGTTTCGTTTACGTGTCATGCGGAGCATGTACACAATCCTGTTTGGCACTAGCTTTCATATCGAGCTTATGTACGTATTAACTTAATTTGCTCCCGTATTTACGATGCATTTGATCAAAAAGCGATAAACATTTTCAGCGTATTTCATGTGTTTATGTTTATCATTTTATACTGTAGTTTGAAAGTGATTTTTTCTTTTCGATAGACAGCTTAGATTGTCCTTCCAAACTGTACTGTTATACTGATTTCCTTGTTAAATATTGAGACAAGTTGATTTTTCTTCAAATTCAGCTACTTATTTACTGCAAGAGTCCTTTCAATTAACTGCATTCGAGTTTTAGGAATCCAATTCATCAACTGGTAATGATTGATTAGTGTCTGAGTGAAGCTTTACCTTTTGTCATCTGCTAATCAACATACGATCAATCAATAATCATATCAACTGAATGATTCCGATCAATTGTCTTTTTTTTATCAAAACTGGTTTAGTTCTGCATGAGGCTGCATGCATCCAAGTATGTGTTTGTTGATAATTTATGTTGTTATATGGCAAGGTAATCTTGGGATAAATGTAAAGTTCTGATTGGTTCTTACTTGGTCAGGATTTTGCCACATAGACCATCATTGCACCATACAGAAAATCATAAAACATGTAAATTCATTGTAAACTAGTTTAGTCCAAGTGACATTGGTGCATGACAATTACCTTGCTCTCTTGAGGGGTACTGGGGAATATTGGCACCATGTCATTCCTATACTGTTACAACCTTGGGCCAATATGCCTCTGTAAAGCCCTGGCAGTCAGCTGGTTATATAGAAATTTGTAGTGGTTTTTGTAAAAGCTATATACACTTACGATTTTGTGCAAAGACAATGTAAATATAGAATAACTGCAAAAACAATTAGTTAAATATACATATACTAATAAAGCAAAAATGTCAGCATCTGTACCAAATTGAAATCCATTTCAACATACATCAGCATGCATAAATGTAAATATTTCACTGTTTTTCCTGTGATAAAGTGAAACAGTTGAACTAACAATCACCTATACAAGTATGGGCATCAGCTCAACTGTAGGAAATTGAATAAATGAAATACATCTTTTATAAGTTTTGAGCAGTAATCCCTATTTAAAAATCAAATAAGAAAATTTTACTTTGGTGTTGTAAAATTTGTTTCTTATGAGAAATGATTCAGCATAAACTCTCTCCTCTTGCGGAGACATGGTGGTCTTATGATTGGTGAGGTGGACGCACGGTCAAGAGGTCTGCATTTGTAGCCTGGCCTGTGCTGGACTCAGGGTCAAGAGGTCTGGGTTCCAGTCAATGTGTTGTGTTCTTGTGCAAAACACTTTACTCTTACAGTGTCTGTCTCCACCCAGGAGTATAAATGGGTAGCAAAAATTAGTTAGGGAAACCTGATAAAATGCAAGGGGGATGATGGTGGAATGGACCTGCATCCTGTCCAGGGTTGGCTAGTAATACTCCCAGTTGCTTCATGTAAGGAAACCAGGATTAAGTAAAGCTCAGGCCCTGGACGGGCCACTTTTCAAATCCAGATGTGACCTAAGTACCTACCACCTCTTAGTTTAAATGATTTAAATTGCTACTGTTACAAATTATATAAAAATTGAAACACACAGATGTTAATTTTTGCCCAATTTATTTCAGTCAATTGCATAGGAATGTCTTTGGTAAATCTTGAAATTTATTGTAATGAGAAGTGAATTACTGTTTATTTAAATATTAATGCTTGTTTTCTTCAGTATATATATGTTTTGTTCTTTTACTGCTTTAAATATGCTATTAATATTAATTGCTAGTGATTTTGTGTCTATGTATCCCTCCCATTCTCAGGAGGGAAAAATATTTAGTTTACAATTGGGTAATATGTTGAGCTAATTTTTTACCATTTGCAACCATCTTTTTTTTCAGGCCAGGATGACTTAAAACAGCAACTTTTTGAAAGAAGCATCCCCTTACAGTTGCTATGGCTAAAGAAAGAAGTCCAATTAAGGTTCCATCTGAAAATGAAGACTTACCTGACAAAGAAAATGCTCCAGATTTTGATGAGGACACTTTACGAGGTGAGCTAGGTTCAACTTTGGCTTCAGTCAGTGTTCAAACATTTTCTATTCCACCAGTTTCAAGAATGTAAGCAGATGTGGAGAATGATATTAATACACGGCATGACCACCTTAAAGTATGTTTGGCCAGTCATGACTCTCTTCTATGATTACAATATGCTGTTCATTGACTGAGAGGATCCATGACATATTTGTTATTTTCTTTTCTCAAATTTCAAAGCAAGGACACAAAGTTATAATAAGTAAAGACTTTATTTGATCATCATATAACATTCATTTTGTAAGTTTGCATCATAAGTACCATCATCATCATCATCATCATCATCTTTCCATTATATTATGCAACATTAAATTGAAAGTTTCAGCTTCCCCTAAGCAACCAATTTCCAGTAGAGTGCAAGTGTTATATCATTGAATATGGAGGTGTTTAACCCTTGACACCCTAACATCAGTATCCATATTCTCCATACTATTCTTTGTATGTTTCTTGTGGTACTGAAAAAAAGAATTCATTTGAAGATCAATGCTTCATAGGTTGGTGATCATTTCCTTTATTCTCATGAGCTTAGTGAATGATTCAGCAGTATTACTCCAAGCTTTTCAGGGGATGGGTCAAGTCAGGCAGGTGCAAAAGTGGCAGCTGGCACTAAAGAAAAAATCTACAGATTTTAAATCTCCAGATCTTGGCAGCTCTGCTTATGCACTAATTTACTACAACCACAGGTAATTATTAACTACAACCACAGACTTTGACACAATTTTTTTTATTTTTATTTTTTCTTTGCAGCCACAGCTGATGTTTATAGGAATGAGGGTAATGAGGCCTTCAAGAAAGGAGATTTCATCAATGCTATTCATTTTTACACCAAAGGAATTAAAATGAACTGCAATGAGAAAGAACTGAAGGCCAAACTGCACAACAACAGGGCTATTGCACATTTTAAACTTGGTAAGATGATGAGAGCTTTAATATGCATTTTTTTTCTATTTTGAAGCTATTGAGTTGTCAGTAGTAGTTTTCTGAAAAAGGTGATAATTTTGAATGCATGCCCAGAAAAATTTAGATCTTATCTTGGCCTCTCAAATATACAAAGAAGTAACCTCTTACCCCAGATATCAACGAGCATCACAAGTTTTTCTCAAAATTATAGTAATGGTAGTTGGTTTGCAACATGTATGGCTAATCAGGTATTTATTTCAATAACAGGAAATCACCAGGATTCACTAAGGGATGCAGAAGCAGCCATTGAGTTAAATCCAACTTTCCTTAAGGCAATTGTGAGAGGTTAGATATGTTAGCTGTGTTATAATAATAATAACAAAAGAACTCAACACTCTAAGGTTAAATGAGGTTAAATGGAGTTCAATCTTGTCTCAATTGACTTTAATTAAGAGGTCGAGACCACCCTGATGTACATTTGAATCCAGCTCTTGACTGCTACGCCATTACTTTCCATTAATCATGATAGGAATATTATTTTGAACGGGATGAAGAACTCAATGTGGAATGCAAAGCAAAATTTCAGCATGAATATTTTAGTTCCTTAAGTCCAATGTGTCACAGGTGTCAGATATGTTAAGAGCGTGTCCACGAGAGCACCGGGCAGTCGTGCTACAAGCCATCTCACCGATTTCAATGAAACTTTGGCAGTTTAAAGGGTCTACCCCAAAACTCAAAGAGACAAACTGGTTTCTGTTTTGGTTCTTCCGGGGGGAGATAGACCACCCCCGGTTTTTCTTGGTTTTCACCAAGGAAATCGCTTCAAATAGGTAAATGTACGAAGCTCTCACGGCGATGGTCTCTAACCGATTACTTTGAGAATTTGCACACATATTTTTACATCCTTAGTTAATGTCTGCTGCGAGTATCAGTCAGTTTGATTGACGGCTTGTCAATCAACAGAGGCAAATATACGACTTTGGTTTTAGACTTTTCGATTCATCGAAATATTTGACAACTTTGAGGTCAAATATCTCCCGTTGCCAAAAAGCTACAACACTAATCCTAATTACCCTTTATAACCCATCATTTCATCTCTGAAAATCATCAAAAAAATCTTTGGGCACTACCGTATTTTTGTCTTGGATACCTTTTAAAATCTGCGACTGTGAGAAGTTTCTCTCAACTACACCTGTCACGCAATTCTTGCTCTAGGCGGTCACTTGACAAAATAAACCTATATTTTTTAGCTCTTTATACAAGATGATTGATCAAGAAAGGTGAAAAATGTGAAAAACGTTCGAGATTTTTTGTAGGAATGGAAAATTTCACGTTTAGAGAGATGCATGTAAACGAAAAATCAATTGGAAAATCGTAGCGTTTCTTTCTTCAGTCGTTTATTACTTTGAAGATTTGCTAAAATCAGCAGATATGGCTTTTGTACGGCACAAAACATTCATTAGTCTATAATATGATTGTTAATCATCATCATTGCTCATTTTAGGAGATTTTAAAGTCACATGCTGCGTGTTGGTTGATATTACTAATTGTTCCAGTGTGCTACAACTTCGGCTTTTACAGACGAGAAATTCTGCGCTCTCGTTCGAGAGCAAATATCTATCGGACTAAAAACTGTGCCTCTATCCCGAAAATAAAATTAAAATAGTGTTGTCGTTGTCACTTACCGCCATCGAACATTTCCATGCAGAAATCCGCTAAGCTAACATCTGTTGTGTGACCCGAAGACTCTTAGTAGGAATTATTCAAGCGCGTTGTTCATGCTGTCTGTTAGATAACAATTTCAGAATAATCTGCAGATCTCTATGAATATTTGCCTGCTTCGATCGTAAAATATCTGCATATTTTTTTAAAGCATTCTATTACTACACATAAATCTACATCTCTCTAGATCGAGTGTTGCCGGCGTTTAATTGCATGACTTGTAAAATTTTTAAATAAGAATTTGAGCCAGCAGTAATTTGACGAGTAGCCTTCCTGCAAATTTCCCTTGATGAAATCCCAAGACATAGCCAGTTGTTTTCGTGAGCAAAGACAATAAATATGAAAGAAAAGTGAGATGCGAATGTCTTTTTTTTTTTTATTTAGCTTAATAGCAGCTGTACCCTCTCCTACAGTCTTCGTCTAAATTTTGAAAGGTCCCTCTTTATCTTCTGCCTTGTTCGGTCAGTTTCGAATTCGGAAGCTAGATCATTGGCATCGGCCTCTACGTCCTCATTCATATTTACAGAGGAGGACCTCATCAATAAGCCAATTTTTGTTACGGCAGATAACCGGCTGAAGTATCGAGCGATTTGCTGTTGTATCAACCGGTCAGTCTTAGACAACATTTCTGGCTGGTGTCGTCTCTTAAACTCTCTCGATATTTGGGAAATCACATTAGGGGCGGTTGCCTTACTAGTTTCCTCCCTTGCCCAGCACACGTCTAGGAGATAATTCTCTGTTTTCTGAGAAAAGGTGGCTGTTTTTTGTGTTTTCCAAAGAGCCCATCCAAAGTTCTTTTGGCTAGTTAGGGATTGTTCGTCAGAATTTTTACCTGAGGTCCGACCTCGAACGTAGCCGTCCCCTATAGAATGGCAAGCCGGTCTTAGTCCATTCTCTCTTGATCTTATCCTAGGCGGAATTTTTTTGTCGGCTTCACTGTGTTTGTCTTTGTCAGGGTACATTTGGATGGCAGCCAATGACTGAAACGTCTTGATACATCCTTCTTTTAGCGAGAATATCTCGCTTTCTTGTTCCGTCTATGACGGATTGGGTATAGTTCTCGCGATGACCCGCGTTCAGAAATCTGTGCACGATGCTGATAACCACCCGCTTCTACGACTAGTTTGCTGAAGGTTTCTAATGTGACGAGCCTAGCGAGAACCTGAGGTGCTTCAAACTGTGCCAGTTGGTCTGCGCTATAAACTTGTCGCAGTTCTTAAGTCAGAGGGAGGATCGCCCACCTCTAACTATGTGAGCGCCTCTACAGTACCTGCCTATCCCTAGCAATCATATGATATAAAGTTCATCTCAGTCACAAATCACCAGTTAGGAAAACTGATGTTCAGATAAGCGCTCTTCTCGCCCTTCTTCCTTATTCATTGCCGACTCTAAGATAGCAGCTACAGTACGCTTTCTATTTAGGGTTACAGTCACCTTGCCGCCACCAGAAAGACTCGCCACCAGCTTTGATTTCTTCTGCCATCTGCAGATTCATCTCTCTCTCACTTTATGTCTCCGATTTTTATGAGGAGGATACTGGCATTTACGAACCCGAAGGTCTGAATCTCACACCAAGTTGTGCACGATATTTGAGCTACATCGTGAAATCGCGGCCTTAGTAATCTCCAAATAAGCTCCGCTAGGATAAGCTCCATCTCGGACGAAACGCATATTTGGGATATATCGACGTCTCTCAATTTTTTTTTTTTTTTTAAAAGCTGTATACCCACGAATTTAGAGGTATGAGCTGTTGCCATCCCTGGTCAGCGCGAGAAAAGTAACATTTGGTCCTACAGTTAGTTGCAAATGAACAAGACAACTGCACCATCTTGACTTTCTCAATTCGAGTGTTAGATTGAATTGAGGGCTTTTTAGACACTCGATTTCTTATATGACATCACTATGAAGACGTAATACAACTGATACACCTACACTACATAGGATTAACAATGAATGTTGTGCCGCGTAGCACTGGGAACACAAATGGTGAAACAGAGAATTAATGTGGTTCCCTGTTTCCCTTTATTAGGGCTTACGCCCTGTGGGTTATTCATGGGTTTAAGTAGCACTTTAATTTACACTTCAGAGTTAATTCTCTGTTTCACCATTTGTGTTCCCAGTGCTACGCGGCACAACATTCATATGTACCCTTACTTTCTCTTCGCCGCGATTCACCATCCTAAATCTGCGTGCAAATCAAGGGAAGACAAAGTTTTTAAAACATTTGACTAGAATTTCATGGAGTTCACCTTGATAATTTTCGTCGGTCAGAGTCAAGACGCGTGACAGGTGACAGGTAGAGTTGAGAGAAACTTGTCACAGTCGCAGATTTTCAAAGGTATCCAAGACAAAAATAAGGTAGTGCCCAAAGATTTTTTTGATGATTTTCAGAGATGAAATGATGGGTTATAAAGGGTAATTAAGATTAGTGTTGTAGCTTTCTGGCAACAGGAGATATTTGACCTCAAAGTTGTAAAATATTTAGATGAATCGAGAAGTCTAAAAAAACCATCGTATATTTGCCTCTGTTGATTGACAAGCCGTCGATCAAACTGACTGATACTCGCGGCGGCCATTAACTAAGGATGTAAAAATATGTGTGCAAATCTTCAAAGTAATCGGTTAAATACCATCGCAGTGAGAGCTTCATACATTTTACCTATTTGAAGCGATTTCCTCGGTGAAAACCAAGAAAAACCGGGGGGTGGTCTATCTCCACCCGGAAAAAACCAAAACAGAAACCAGTCTGTCTTTTTGAGTTTTGGGGTAGACCCTTTAAACTGACAAAGTTTCATTGAAATCGATGAGATGGCATGTAGCACGACTACCCGGTGCTCTCGTGGACACGCTCTTAAGTCACTATCTAGCTGTTTTAAAAAGAAGGATCAGGACTTACCTAACTTTTAGTGTTTTTGTGGGAGTTGTTGATCCTAATTTAAGTGTTCTTAGAAGTTTTAGCTAAATAAATCAAACTGAAACCTACTAGGAGCTGTTTATTCTTTTCCGTTTAGTTTTTTTGTATTGCTTTGTTTTGTATTTTTTTTCTTCTGGTCTGTAATGATTTCAATGGTTTCAGGTTCTTTTCTCAGTATTGAGCTACAGTAAGAGTATGCTTCTTTGTGTTGTTGCCTACAGGAGCCACTGCTTGTGTTGAATTGAAGAGATTTGAAGAAGCAATCACTTGGTGTGATAAGGGACTAGCTGTATCCTTTGATGGAATCTTTCATTGTTAACCGTGGGTATAATGGAAAAAGTTTCCATAATTTGATGTTTCAAGGGAGAAAATACAAAGAAGGGAACTTGTCAGCTCATATACTTTAAGTGTGAGTAATTAAAAACATAGGAGAAGTTATTACCTCATGACTTATTAATGAAATTACTCCTTTTAGCCAATTTGACTTAGTTCTACTATCCATGCCAATAACCCTTAACATAAAAGAGATTGACAAAAACAATAGGATCTTGTTGTCATTAAGACTTCAGTCTGTCAGTGAAGTGGGAGATAAGTCCATCGAGGAAAAAGGTCCTATGAGTCATGACCACGGTAGTGCAAGTTCAGATGATGTCAAGAAAGTCATACATCTCTATAATCAGGGAAAAGAAGCCATAGAGTACCTCAACCTATATCTTAAAAAAGCTAAAGAAGTAGGAGACAAGCATGGGGAGGGTAACGCTTATGGCAGTCTTTGCAATGCTTATGACCGTCTGAGTGATTTAAAAAAAGGCATAGAGTACCACAACCTACATCTTAAAATAGCTAAAGAAGTAGGAGACAAGCATGGGGAGGGTCGTGCTTATGGCAATCTTGGCAATGCCTTTCACCGTCTGGGTGAATTAAAAAAAGCTATAGAGTACCACAACCTAGATCTTAAAATAGCCAAAGAAGTCGGAAACAAGCATCGGGAGGGTGTTACTTATGGCAATCTTGGCAATGCTTATTTTAGTCTGGGTGATTTCAAAAAAGCCATAGAGTACCACAACCTACATCTTAAAATAGCTAAAGAAGTAGGAGACAAGCATGGGGAGGGTAAGGCTTCTGGTAGTCTTGGCAATGCTTATGGCCGTCTGGGTGATTCCAAAAAAGCCATAGAGTACCACAACCTACATCATAAAATAGCTAAAGAAGCAGGAGACAAGCATGGGGAGGGTAAGGCTTATGGCAGTCTTGGCAATGCTTATCGCCGTCTGGGTGATTTCAAAAAAGCCATAGAGTACTACAACCTACATCTTAAAATAGCTAAAGAAGTAGGAGACAAGCATGGGGAGGGTGGTGCTTTTGGCAATCTTGGCAATGCTTATCACCGTCTGGGTGATTTCAAAAAAGCCATTGAGTACCACAACCTACATCTTAAAATAGCTAAAGAAGTAGGAGACAAGCATGGGGAGGGTAACGCTTATGGCAATCTTGGCAATGATTATGACAGTCTGGGTGATTTCAAAAAAGGCATAGAGTACCACAACCTACATCTCAAAATAGCTAAAGAAGTAGGAGACAAGTATGGGGAGGGTGGTGCTTATGGCAATCTTGGTAATGCTTATAACCGTCTGGGTGATTTAAAAAAAGCCATAGAGTACCACAACCTACATCTTTTAATAGCTAAAGAAGTAGGAGACAAGCATGGGGAGGGTAAGGCTTATGGAAATCTTGGCAATGACTATGACAGTCTGGGTGATTTCAAAAAAGCCATAGAGTACCACAACCTACATCTTAAAATGGCTAAAGAAGTAGGAGACAAGCATGGCGAGGGTAAGGCTTATGGCAGTCTTGGCAATGCTTATTACAGTCTGGGTGATTCCAAAAAAGCCTTAGAGTACCACAACCTAGATCTTAAAATAGCTAAAGAAGTAGGAGACAAGCATGGGGAGGGTGTTGCTTATGGCAATCTTGGCAATGCTTATCACCGTCTGGGTGACTTCAAAAAAGCCATAGAGTACCACAACCTAGATCTAAAAATAGCTGAAGAAGTAGGAGACAAGCATGGGGAGGGTGTTACTTATGGCAATCTTGGCAATGCTTATTTTAGTCTAGGTGATTTCAAAAAAGCCATAGAGTACCACAACCTACATCTTAAAATAGCTAAAGAAGTAGGAGACAAGCATGGGGAGGGTAACGCTAACGGCAGTCTTGGCGATGCTTATGACAGTCTGGGTGATTTCAAAAAAGCTATAGAGTACCACAACCTACATCTTAAAATAGTTAAAGAAGTAGGAGACAAGCATGGGGAGGGTAAGGCTTATGGTAGTCTTGGCAATGCTTATCACAGTCTGGGTGATTCCAAAAAAGCCATAGAGTACCACAACCTACATCTTAAAATAGCTAAAGAAGTAGGAGACAAGCATGGGGAGGGTGGTGCTTATGGCAGTCTTGGCAATGCTTATGGCCGTCTGGGTGATTTCAAAAAGGCCATAGAGTACCACAACCTACATCTTAAAATAGCTAAAGAAGTAGGAGACAAGCATGGGGAGGGTAAGGCTTATGGCAGTCTTGGCAATGCTTATCACAGTCTGGGTGATTCCAAAAAAGCCATAGAGTACCACAACCTACATCTTAAAATCGCTAAAGAAGTAGGAGGCAAGCATGGGGAGGGTAACGCTTATGGCAGTCTTGGCAATGCTTATCACCGTCTGGGTGATTTCCAAAAAGCCATAGAGTACCACAACCTACATCTTAAAATAGCTAAAGAAGTAGGAGACAAGCATGGGGAGGGTAAGGCTTATGGCAATCTTGGCATTGCTTATCACAGTCTGGGTGATTTCAAAAAAGCCATAGAGTACCACAACCTAGATTTTAAAATAGCTAAAGAAGTAGGAGACAAGCATGGGGAGGGTGGTGCTTATGGCAGTCTTGGCAATGCTTATTTTAGTCTAGGTGATTTCAAAAAGGCCATTGAGTACCACAACCTACATCTTAAAATAGCTAAAGAAGTAGGAGACAAGCATGGGGAGGGTAACGCTTCTGGCAATCTTGGCAATGCTTATCACCGTCTGGGTGATTTCAAAAAAGCCATTGAGTACCACAACCTACATTTTAAAATAGCCAAAGAAGTAGGAGACAAGCATGGGGAGGGTGTTGCTTATGGCAATCTTGGCAATTATTATGACAGTCTGGGTGATTTCAAAAAAGCCATAGAGTACCACAACCTAATTCTTAAAGTCGCTAAAGAAGTAGGAGACAAGCATGTGGAGGGTGTTGCTTATGGCAATCTTGGCAATGCTTATGGCCGTCTGTGTGATTTCAAAAAAGCCATAGAGTACCACAACCTATATCGTATAATAGCTAAAGAAGTAGGAGACAAATCCTCTGAGGCAATGGCCTACTGTTCATTAGGATTGGTTTTTGAGTTGCAAGGTAGACTGCCAAAAGCCGTTGAACATTACCAAGCTAGCATAAACTTATTCAATTCCTTGAGAGTACTTCTAATATCTAAAGATGAGTGGAAAGTTAATTTTCGAAATCAGCATCAAGTGGCGTATACGGGTTTGTGGAGAGTTCTCGTAGAACAAGGTAATGTAGATGAAGCCTTATTTGTTGCTGAGAAAGGACGAGCTCAAGCTCTGACCGACCTCATGGAATCCAGTTTTTGTAGTGGAACAAGTCACCACAGGGGAGAAGATGAAGATTGCGCAGTTTTAAAAAACGTTCCATCAAACACTGTCTTTCAGGCAGTGGACGAAGCTTATGTCAATCTTTGGGTTGTGTCCGAAGGAAAACAAGTTCAGTTAAGACAAAGTAAACTAGAAGGTTTTGTTTCAGAGAATAGTGGATCTAGCCTGTCCATTGAGTCGTTCATGCCCAGTGTCTATACACAACTTGGTGTTCGTTCTAATGTAAGATGCGAGAATCGATCTTTAGATGCTTTGAGGGAGGGCCATTCAAAAGTGGATGAGAAAACCAAAGAAGCCAAGCCTCAGCCTTACATCCAACAAGACGGATGCTTGAGCACTTTGTATGATATCGTTATGAAGCCGGTGGCTGACTTGATTGAAGGGGATGAGCTACTCATTATTCCTGATGGACCCCTGTGGATCGCTCCTTACGCTGCATTGAAGGATGGTAATTCTAAATACCTGTGTGAATCGTTCACAATCCGAGTCGCTCCATCGTTAAAAAGTCTTAGACTCATTGCTGATTGCCCAGATGATTATCACAAAAGCAGTGGTGCGTTGCTTGTAGGAGATCCGTGCTTATCCGAGGTTACTAACAGCGAGGGAAAGAAAGTCTTCGAGCAGCTTCAGTATGCTAAAAAAGAAGTAGAAATGATCGGAAAAATTCTGAATATCACGCCAATCACTGGCAGTCAGGCCACGAAACGTGAGGTGTTGAAAAGACTCAGTTCCGTTTCCCTAGTTCACTTTGCGGCACACGGATGTATGGAAACTGGCGAAATTGCTCTTACACCTGACCCAGACCGAATATCTACTGTGCCAACGGAGGAGGATTACATTTTAACAATTGGAGATGTGTTGAATGCTCAACTTCGGGCCAAACTTGTTGTGCTTAGTTGCTGCCACAGCGGCCGGGGCGAGATCAAGGCTGAAGGTGTGGTTGGCATTGCGCGTGCTTTTATGGGGGCTGGTGCTCGGTCTATTGTAGTGACCCTGTGGGCGATTGATGACAAGGCTACTCTTGAGTTCATGAAACACTTTTATCAACAACTTGCAGGAGGTAAACCAGCAAGCGAGTCACTGAACCTGGCCATGAAAAGCCTCAGAGAATCAGACAAGTTCTGCGACATCAAACACTGGGCGCCCTTTTTGCTGATTGGAGATGACGTCACTCTTGACTTCATGGCAAAGGAAAGAGAAAATATGAATATGAAATCTCATAAATGAAAACTTTTTGTTTCATCTCAAAATGAATGACGCAGGAATTTGGAAGGTTTAAATGCTTCTCTATTTTGGCGCTTTTTGGCTATTTTTCATTACTTTTCACTTTTTTGTTAAATGAAACTTGAGATGTGTGACTTTACTTTAGTGAAGAAATAAAACAGACTATTTCAGTATATTTTGTTCAGTGGAATAGCTATTTTTTTACCTTTACAAATTTAGGTGCTTGCGAAGAGAACAAGATGCAACAAGGCTTCTGCTGTTAATGCCTGAAGTTGTTGAAGGCGACTACGAGGTTTTCGTTTCGCCAAAATGACACTCAGATCTATTCCTTTATTGCATTCAGTTATGTGTAAAATAATTTAAAGGTTTTTTTCTTGTATACAACCAGGAGCTTGTCCACCGGGTTTTAATTACGTGGATACTCTAAGCTTTTGATAAGCAAAGAAACAGTTTGTCATTTGCAAAAGGTGGCGAAATGTTAATTTCAAAAATGTGATTTGCAAACTTCGCAGCCATATGTGAATTGATCTTAATGGTTTTTCTACGTCATAAATTACTTTGTTGCAATTTGCAATTATCTTTACAAAAAAATTGATTATCATTTTCAACTTTTTTTCAATCCATTTTAATGCAATCTAATTCCATCAGTGCCAAGATTGCCATTCTAAGCTTAATTTGAAGAAGTAATCATCAGAGATGATGTTGTTGAATTTACTGACCATATGTTAGAGACATTAGACCTACTATCAGGGGTGTGGCCAGCCTCTAGTCCCGTGGGCCCGGCCTACAATTGTTTTCCGCCCGCTTGACTTTTCTAATATGACTCTTACAAATGTTGAAACAAAAATTGAAATTTCTCAGCAAAAAGGCCTACAACAAGTCAAAGAGCTGGCTACAACGGCCTGCTTTCAATCAAACGAGTTTGATCAATTTTAGTCCATTTTATCAAGCACTCGTCAGTTTGTTTTAGAGAACGACAACAGAGACAAATTGTCCATGTAATCTAAACAAGGAAATAGCGAAACAGAGTTTACTTTAACTAAAGTTTCCATTGCTGTGACTTTTAATGTATGTGACATGGAATTTGTTGTTTTCATTAGGAAAATATTTACGCCAATAAATTAGGGAAACACTTGAAGTAGTAAGCCATGTAGTCCTCAATGGGAATTATTTTGGTGAAAATGTTCATGAATAAATGTAAATCTAGGCCGTAGTTAAAGAGGTTCAGGGCTTCAGGATAAAACTTGCATTTTTTTGAAAATTTGCTGTTCAAATTTTTTTCATGGCTTTAAATTTACCTTAGTATAATTTGGAGATGTCTGATGATATCTTTCTTAGATTTAAGAATTTATACTTAGGTATTCAGAGCACGCTTTGTAATTAGAACCCGTTATGCGCTCAAAAGTTTAAGGTATACTGTATCACAGCTGTTTTAAAAGAAATTTTTGTCAAATCAATGTTAATTTTTGACAGATTTTTATAACTACCATTGGTATTTGCTGGTATAAAATGTAATAGTTAACCTTGCACATGGTTGAATATGATGTAACGTAGGATTTTAAAAACAAGCTGGGACAATTTCGACTAAACATTCTTTTTATAATGTCAGTCTATTTGGTGTGAATTGTTTTGATGCTATTTGTATTTAAAGTTGAAGCTATTTGTTCATTTACCTTAGTTTTTATTCATTAACTCATTAACTCCCAAGTTGTGAAGAAAAATTCTCCCAACTGATAAGAATGTGTTTCTTTGTTGCTTCATTCTGAGAATTCGATGAAACATAACGTTTCTAGTGAAAAATAATCCGCTAGTTTAGATTTTCTCTAATTCTTATTGACACCATGTTTGTCGGTGCATTAATTTTGTGAGGAGAATTTAAGTTATGATCAATCTTGGGAATAAATGGGTTCATTTTAGTGTCTCCGGTTAGCGCCTACTTTACTTAATGCCTTGAACAATTTAATGCAGTTTGTATTGTACTTTTTTTTTACTTTTTTGTGTAAGAGAAATAGAGAGTGTATAAAATACAAAAACTGCCTTTGTTTTCATTGTCTGTCTCCATATTCTAAGGATTTGCGTGAGATGCAGGGAGAACAGATCCTACGGGGACTTCAATGTTTGTTTTGACCCGCGCGCGCCAAGTTGATAATCTTTGCAGCTGACAGCGTACTGACATTCCATGTTTCAAGCCCCCACCCACTTAACAAACGCTCGTCGACTCTTCGATTATGTCTCTTTCACTGTCTACCGTTCTCCATATTGTCACACGATTTTGAATGCCGACAGACGTGTTCATACTGTTACCTGTATGTGCCCTTTTTACCTTTTTACACCTTTTCACATTTGTGCATCTCTTTTTTCTCCTTCCTTTTGTTCCTTCCCTCTTTTCCATCGTACTTTTTCTTTATTCCCATTTTTACGCGCACTTCTTTCATCGCCCTCAACTTTATTCTTCCACACGCTTCATTAGACGCGACTATCTCCTTGTCTGTTTCAGTTTTCATTCGTCTCAATCCTCGCGCAACGTCAGGTCTCTTACAACTCATATACCTCCTTACTTCCCCAGAGTAGTTGTTATTATGCTTATTTTGTTCACTTTAGGATGCTGTCCTCTTTGCATCATGTCTAGTAAAATCTTAGTTTTCCTTTCGACTCATTCCCAGTCCACAGGGGGTCTCAATTTTAAGTCTCACTTGCCAGTGTTTGCTCTCCTCGGTCCTCTCATCACAGTAGCAGCTATAAAACGAAAGAGCTCCCTCCAAGTCTCTGCGACATAATCGATGCATTTTGTTGGAAACGAGTCCTTCAATGTCCAAATTAAGGCTTCTTCTATCAGCTGATTGGGAATGGATCAAACTCTCGCTTAGGGTCCACCTACATCGCGAGTCCAAGATGGCAGCAGGCCAATCCACAGACTTCTCCGAGTCGGTAGCCGTCATCTTGGATGTAGACGCAGAGAGGACCTTGAAAAAGTGTTTTGACAAGACAATAATCAAGAAAGGTTAAGTTATTGTAATGCTTCCTAAGAGGTAGTCGATAACAGCCCGAGAGATTCATTAGGAGCAAACACGTTCCGTCGATTATTGGACTCCATGTCTCCTTACGTTGTAGAACAAACTCCTCGAATACGTACGCCTATATGCCCCTCTCCTCCTCCCCTAAATAGCACCATACATCCCTTTATTGCAACTTTTAAAATTATACAGCACAATACAACATTATACCCCTGAGTAGCACTGTAAATCCATAAAATGAAGTAACTGTGCAGCGCATCACAACAATACGAACCCCTAAATAGTAATATGCTTCCCTCTACTGAATTTTTTTCAGCATACAGCGCTCTATAAACTATTGCTCCAATTTGGCACGAAAATAATTGTGGATATTCGTCCGCGGACATTATCTATTCCAAGATGCCAAAACTGTGAGCTTCGAAGGACAAAGTCCAAGGACAACAATCCGAACACATTTTCGTGCAAAATAGAGGCTATTGTGATTTTTATCCTTCAATTATTTTGCAACGCTCGTGAAAGAATTTTTAAGAACAGCTCACTGAATTGAATTAAATTTGAAACGAAGACTTATCGAGGTAGCCGTAAGGTTTGCGAATTGGGGAATATCGCTTGCGTGATATTCTCGGATATCACCCAGTATATACAGCGCTCTATAAACTATTGCTCCAATTTGGCACGAAAATAATTGTGGATATTCGTCCGCGGACATTATATATTCCAAGATGCCAAAACTGTGAGCTTCGAAGGACAAAGTCCAAGGACAACTATCCGAACACATTTTCGTGCAAAATAGAGGCTATTGTGATTTTTATCCTTCAATTATTTTGCAACGCTCGTGAAAGAATTTTTAAGAACAGCTCACTGAATTGAATTAAATTTGAAACGAAGACTTATCGAGGTAGCCGTAAGGTTTGCGAATTGGGGAATATCGCTTGCGTGATATTCTCGGATATTTAGTCACTTGCTGCGTTTACACCAATTGCGCGCGAGCAAAAATATTTGATGGATCATAAAAAGCAACAAGTACCCCTAGATAGCACTATACTTCACTCTTCCACAATTTACATCACAATACAGCGCTATAAAACAACATGTACCCTTAAATAGTACTATAGTTCTCCCTTCTGCAGTTTACATCACTATACAGCGCTATACAACAATATGTACCCCTAGATACCACTATACTTCACTCTTCTGCACTCTACATCCCGATACAGCGCTATACAACAATATCTACCCCTAGATAGCATTATACTTCTAGCTACTGCAGTTTACATCACTATACAGCGCTATACAACAATATGTACCCCTAGATACCACTATACTTCACTCTTCTGCACTCTACATCACGATACAGCGCTATACAACAATATCTACCCCTAGATAGCATTATACCTCTCGCTACTGCAGTTTACATCACTATACAGCGCTATACAACAATATGTACCCCTAGATACCACTATACTTCACTCTTCTGCACTCTACATCACGATACAGCGCTGTACAACAATATCTACCCCTAGATAGCATTATACCTCTCGCTACTGCAGTTTTCATCACTTTACAGCGCTATACAACAATATGTACCCCTAGATACCACTATACTTCACTCTTCTGCACTCTACATCACGATACAGCGCTATACAACAATATATACCCCTAGATAGCATTATACTTCTCATTACTGCAGTTTACATTACTATACAGCTCTATACAACGATATTTACCCCTAAGTAACCTTGATCGGCATAACAGAATACATACATCGAAATTTTCCATGCTTTGTGTCTTTCTCCAAGGTTCATCAAATACTCGATGAAAACCTTTGCGTCGTTCAAAGAAAACGCAGCATTTTCCAGCGCAGTCGTGACTCGTTTGACGTGAAGACAAAGAGATGGCGAGTTGATCAAGGCTTTAAATTTCAAACTCTTAAAGGCGGGAAATATTTCAGAAACAAAATCATTCACGAACATCATTATTAATTCTGAA